CGTATGCATTTATGCGTGCTGAAAAGCTTGGCGATACTCGCTGTGGTTCAATTGATTGTTATTTTATGAATACCTTCTACATCATACATGTTATGTTGCTCATCTCATTGTGTGGGTGGGTGTGGCTGTGTGTGTGTGAGTGTGTGTCGCGTGCGTGAATATTGTTCGTACATATGCATTGTGATCATTGTCTTTCTGAATAAAAATCTGCTGAAAATGACAAAGAGTTAAACATGTTCACGGTTATTCTTTTCTTCTTCTTTCTTTTCTTCTTTACTTGCTCCTCAGAGTCTGCGTTGCCATTTTGACTTAGACTGTTACAATGGGGCTCTCGTCGCCTCAGAGGTTATATGGTGTTCGCCTCTCATTCAACAGGTCCCGGGTTCGAATCTGGGTAGCGACAACATTTTCTCCTCTCTCATTCTTTCCTGCTCTCTAACAACGTGTTGTCGTCTGCTTTCATCTCCATTTTCTGCCCTTACCTCCTTTTGGCTCCTGAAACTTTCTACAGTCTTTTCTACTGCTTCTTCTTGGCTCCGTCTTACTGCTGTCTTTCAGCCAAACTCCAGATCTTGTGGTAGGTAAGATCCACACCACACCTAGCCTTCTCGGACAAGAGCCAAAAATCTCGGAGGTCCTGTGTGCAAGCACACGTTAAAGAGCCCTTGGTGGTCCAAAATCAAAAAGAAGAGCAGGCCTCCGCTGCAACCCGAGCAAAAATCAAAATTTCCTACCAACTGAAAACTATTGGTGGGTCCTGGACGCTCATAAAAGTCATATGCGAGCGCCGTAAAACACTTACTAATTATAACAACAAACTCAAACACCAAAAAAAAACCCCCAATTGCATCAGTTTCAATGTACACAGCTTAATGATCTTCGTTTTCTTGTGTTTCGTTAATACTTTCCATCTTGACTGTAACCATGTTACCCTTCTTTCTCTCTCTACTTTCTCTCTCTTTATCTCTCTGTTACTGTTAGAGTTAGACATGATCCTATTCACTAGTCATATTGTGAATAAATCCTTTTATTTTCTTGCACATCGATACCAAATATGTAAATATCTAAATCACTTGTCAAAGTGGTCTCATCCCAATATAATATCTGTTTACAAAGACGTTTAGGCCCATTTGTTGTTGTCTTTTGCCTCAACCCCCACGCAGTGCCTCTTATAAAGTCTATAAAATTCTCACTACTGAGCGTGCGGCGCTCGCAGAGTTGGCCTATTCAAGATGGCGGCCGGTTAGTTACGGGTTTTCCACGGCGCGCGCAGTCCATATCTTTTTAGGTCAGTGGACTGACGTCATCGCTAGGCCTAAGTCCGCCGTGTGTTTGGCCCACAGAATTCTACACTTATAGAAGCGG